CTAGATTTTTCAGAAAATTGGTATTCCGCAAAGATGGCACCTTACATTCCCAAGAAGCCATCAAGAATCTTGGAGCTTGGGATAGGATTTTTATAAGTCTATCTTGAGATTTTGCTTCTTCTTTTTTTTTTCCCTCAAGTTTGTAGTTGTGCTGGCACTGGGCAGGGTGGATTGTGTCGTCATGATTCATCTGTCAACAAAAAGTCAGTGAAAATAAGGATTAGTGCCTACAGCTTTACCTCAGACTTTTTAGGGAATTTAATGTTGGTGATTAAAGGACACAACTAAGTATTCTAGGTAACTGAAACAGAGGCCTTCTTCCTGGTTTGTATTTTTGTTTCTTATACTTTCAATATTATGTCATTTTATCAACTTATTTTATTTGCCATTTTTCTTCTTAAAATTACTTATGCCTTAAGTAATATTTTTTTAATTTTGTGTTTTATTATATTTATAGAACTTTGTTAAATACGAAACTTTGTTAAACACAAGTCTCATTTGTTGCTCATCAGCTATATTACTTAGAAATACATTTGCTACTTCTTTGCGCAAATAAAATATTTTTAATTGCTTTTTTTATGCCAGATATTTTAACCTAATTCTAAATAAGTGATTGCATAAAAGATGCCCACTCCCTTTAAAACTCATTGGAATGAGGATAGGGACAGACAGACACATCATAAGGGCAGAGTTAAGGCATGTGCCAGTTGGACCATTCCCTGTGGTTACCCTGAGAAAGGACTGCTATTTAAAGCAAACAACAATAATCCTTGTAACCTTGACATTTAATCCCCAGGAAGTAACATTCCTAAATACTGTCTACATTGACTTCAGAAAATTCTCTCTTTATTGGCCATAATTTGTCTATGTTATAGTAAAATTCTTTTTAGGCTTTGTAATATGCTCTTTAAAATACTTTTTATTTTGATTGTTATGCAAAAATGCACATAGTAGTTGCTGGTGATATTTAAAAACTGTTGCCTTCTTCCTTTTTCTTGACATACAATAATTCTGTATTTGTTGGCAATTGTGATGTCCACCTCTCAGAAAATCTTATCATAGCAGCCTATTAATCTGAGAATTTTAAGATTGTGCTCTTGGAGGAAATAGTGAAGAGAGACTGGTGGTGTTAGGAGATTAAAGTAAGAGGAACTAGTAAAGTACTAATAGAAAGGCTTTTAAATGTGATCATTTCCATCATCATTGTGAAAGTGAATTCCCTTCTGCTATGAGTGCTATAGGATTTTGAGTTATTTGTCCTTTCTTGCCTCCTATAACTGGCTAAGAGAACTATGCATATAAAAAATACCTTAAAGTTGAAGTCTTCTGATTTACTTTTTCTTTTTTTCTGGAAAGCAAATTGAAGATTGCTTCCAGACATTTTGTGTTAGCAAGGTATACTTTCTAACAACAGAGTGCCTATCCAAAATGCCCGAATTGATTTTTTAAAAAACTTGAAAGTTTGTTTTCCCCATAAATATGTTTATTTTGAAATGGTGATTGGGGTAGACTTGGTTGGAGAGTTGAAACATACGAGTGGGAAGAAGTGGGTAAACAGTATGTGAGTTCTCACCTGGCTTCCTTTGCCTGGGAATTATCGAGCACATTGATTTGCTGGGTGATTGAACAGGTTTTCTCAAACAGTCCTAATGAGATACAGAAAACTTTTACAATTCTACTAATTATAGAACACTGAAGTTGATAAATTACTTTTAAAAACATAAGTTAGGCCCTCCCTGGTGGCGCAGCGGGTTAAAGCACAGCACTGATAATCTAAAGCCACTTCCGCATGAGCTCTATTCCCGCCTGCCCTGGAGGTGACCACATGCCGTGGCAGACCTCTCCTGGCCTGCCCGCTGCTCCCCTCAGCAGTGTACTTCCTCGATCTGCCTGTTCTGTTCCCCACTCTGTTTCTGGTGAAGCCTTTCACCGCCCCTGAGCCTCTGGCTCATACCCCAGTTCTGTATGTACAAATAAATAAATCTTAAAAAAAAAAAGCAAAACATAAGTTAGACTTAAAAGTTGTACGCATAATGTCATCATTTATTTTCTTCCTTTTGAAGAGGGAAATGGAGTGTTTAACTTAATCCTCCATCTTTATCTGATACTGCCTGAGATTAGTAAACTTCTTTTGATGATGACTAGATGTGAAAAATGGGAACTTACACTGTGTTTTAGGTTGTATCCAAAATTCTGTTTTGTTTTCAAAATCTGAGTGAACTTGCTTACCATTGTAGTTGAACATGACATCACATGTGGTGTCTCTTTACGACCTCAAAACAAATCAAGACCAAACAAAAATGGTCATCACTTGGAAATGCTGTCAAATTTTAATTAAGGGACTAAAGATAATTACCTCAACTGTGATAGAATTTTTGCTCACACTAAACATTTGGTGGCTTTCTCTAGAAAGGAACCCTGAAAGACACAGTTGTGAAAGAATACATGGTGGTAGATTCTCACCTAGTCATATGGCTGTGGTTTAGAGAGAGCAAGTCCTCTCTGCAGCCAGGTTCTCAGTTGTCTCTTTGTTAGATATATGTGTTCCTGCTTTTCCTCTCATTCCCCTTAGGGCAAAGAGACTGTAGCTTCTCTTAGCTTTGTAATCAATCCCAGTGATGAAGGTCCTGATTATTAGTGTTTCAGACTCCTTTTCTCAGACAAAGGGTGTTGACTTCTGAAAGAATAGCAAGGAAATGAACTCAAGGCTCACTTTGGATAGGGGCATCATAACACTGGCCCAGCAATCAAACACAGTTGGCTTACTATTAAAAACAACAACAACAAGACTTCAAGTAAACATGCCATTAAAATTTTTTTTTATATAATTGTAGCAGGTTTGGATTTCCTCTGGTTCAAGTTTTCTTGCCTGTTTGATAATCAGACAATCTGAAGAAAGGCATAGAATTTCAGGGGAGAATCTGCATGAGAGACTTACAATAAGGCTATTCACAGGGCTCTTTTATTAGCTTAAACAGTATCTGCATCATTCTTAGTCTCTGGCTTTACTACAAGGCTCCATTTAAACTTAACCCAACTTGCAGACTTAACTGATCCAGGAATTACTCAATACAGCCAGTCAGCTACTGTAGCTCTTTTACCCCTTTTGATAAGGGAATTTAACACAATGAGCTTTACAGTTCTTAAATGACTCCATTTCCCTCCCTGTCTTTGAGATGTGGTGCTTATATGACCTTTTGTTCTTAATTAAATTCACGTGGCTTGATTATATTTTTTAAAAGTATGAACAAACAGTCTTGACTGCCTCTCCTTAGAATAAAACAGTCTTGTGGAGGATATAGAAGTGGAATACATGTTTCATCATGTTTACACAGATGATTTCAATATGCTAGGCATTATTATTGATATTTGATATTAAATCAAACATAGAAATATTTTCCTTACTCTTGAGGGGTGATTCTGATATAATTATTCGTAGCCCTTCAACATTGCACTTTCTCTTTGCACACGTTAGGTTTTCTGCTGTTGTGAGATTTCTGTCACTACAGTGCTAGTACACTAATCAGGAAATGCTTGGTTGGCCCATAAATAGCTGGAGTGAAGAAGGAAGGTGAGATCTCTGGGTGTAGAGTAGAGGGAACCTGGAGGATGTATTTAGTAACATTGCATATATTCAATATTGACAGTCCACACTTTGGAGCTTTATCTTCGAACTTTATTATGAACAACACTTATCAGAATGCTTGATGAAAATGCTGATACAGTTCTCTCCATTAGAGACCATTTCAGTAGTCCTGGCAGAGAGGCCTGTGGGTTTACATTTTTAGTAAGCATCCTATTGATTCTGGTACAGATGGTTATTGTAGAATCATTATCCATATACCTCAGGGAATGTTAGGAATACAATATTAACCTTTACCCCTGGGACCTCCCTTGGGTAGGATTGAACCCTGGTGTGATTTCCCAGAGGCATTCGTGGCAAGAGGGGAAAGACACACATGCATTTCCAGTGTTGGAGAGACTCAGCATCGTTCTTAAGTCGCGTTTCCCCCTTCGGCACTGAGTATACATCACTTTCCCACAGATGTGCCTCCCCTCCGGGCCAGCCTAGGTGCTTGGGAATGGTATCTCATTTACAGGCAACTTTGCTTGTGATGAGAATTTCAGAGTGATTATTTTATTTTATTTTTTTTTAAGATTTATTTATTTGTGCATACAGAACTGGTGTACAGGCCAGAGATGTGGAGGGTGAGAGGATTCACCAGAGACAGAACAGGGAGCAGAACAGGCAGATCAACGAAGCACACTGCTGAGGGGAACAGCGGGCGGGTCAGGAGAGGTCTGCCACACCATGTGGTCACCTCCGGGACAGGCGGGAATCGAACTTATGCGGAAGTGACTTTAGATTATCAGTGCTGTGCTTTAACTTGCTGTGCCACAAGGGAGGGCCTCAGAGTGATTATTACCTGCAGTATTTAATTCAAAAATTTTTCCTTATCCTCCTCTCCTACCCCATTAAAGTAACTTTAGAGTTTTAGAAGCAGAAGTCTTTTTCAAAAGGATTTCCAATTAGAAATTATTTCTCAAGAAACCTTTTGCAAATTATGGTGTAATGTGTTTGTTCATTTCATGGAGATAAGAAATTTCCTTGAAGATAAGTTGATATGATGGTCAGAAAAGATAAGGAAAATAAGTGGTGATGACAACAATTTGATGTTTATTGTACTTTGCCTTAAGTGCTACTATGTTTTCTGTTTGTGGAATCCACCCCCATATAGTTGGAAGATTTTTGATTTGGGGAGTTATATTTTCTAGTCTACCACCTGAAAATTCAAATGCCATATACATATTATCTAGTTAACAGAGTTTTCAAGATTGATTTATTTATTTTTGAGGGGCAGCTTATTGTTTGATTGTTTAAATTTCATTGGTTGGTTTTTGAATTGATTCATTTTAGGAAAGGATCAAATATGAAATGCTTTGCTTGTGGCTAGTTGAGGGCAGGGATCATGAGCATTAATTGAATGTGTCCTTTTTAGGAATGTGTTCCAGAAGACCTAGAACTAAAGAAGAAGATTTTTATTCAGTTAGACCGGATCGTCAGTGAGAGCGTTGTCTTAAGCAGCTCCAGCTCCTGCCTCCTGCCCTCCAAATTATTTTCAGGTTTAGCACATGTGAAGCAGTGCCTTGTGGCTCATCCTGTGAGTATGCTACACCTGGGGAAGTCTCTCAGTGGATCATTGGGGGCAATATACTTTGACTATTAATCCACTAGTGCTTTTTCACTGCTTTATTGGGATATAATGCTCATATCACACAGTTTCCCAGTTGAAAGTATATAATTCAGTGGGATGGGCTGTAGTATGTTTAGAGAATTGTGCAGCACCAGAATTTCTTAAAAGAATTTTATCCCATAGTTCCTTGGATTATATGTATATGTCAAATGAGTAATGGGAACAAATGAGCAATGCTTATTATAGACTTTCTCTCTCAAGTAATTCCTTATCTGAGGAGATTACTAAATAAGTAATTTCGCTACACTTTAAAATATGCATACAATGAGTCGGATTTTGTAGTTTAGTCTCTTGTATTATGTAGTTTGCTAAACCCAATTCAGAGCAGAATCAGTTTTGTTAAAATGCAGACTCCAGGACCTACCTGAGGTTCTGATTAGTAGCCTGACTACAAATCCCTCCTTTTTCTTGTTTTTCTCTTCCACCCACTCACTGTAATTAGCTGGAGTGCATTAGGAGACATGTTAGACAGTGAGTTCCAAGTTGGCATGCAAACAATAAATCGTTTTGAGATTAAAGTGTTACTATGAGGGGAAAAATCAGAAAGGAGATTCAAGGATTACCAGTGGAGGACTTTTGAGTGCTGACATGAGCTCCAGGTGATGTTGGAGAACTGGGATAACCTGTTAGTACAGAAAAGCTAACTCGACCCAAGTCATAATAAAGATGACAGTACACCAGGCTCACCACACCCTCAGCACCGCCAGACCAGCAGAGATTAAGGTTGGAGACAGCACTGAAAAACCAGGCCAGATTTGGCAGGATCTGGTGGACTGAAGAGGAAGGGGGTGCTTGAGACCGGGAAATATCATGAGCAATGACCCCAAGCCAAGAATAAGCATGGCAGTCCTGCTTGACTGAAAGAGCCTGCATGTTTTTGGGACAGAAAGAAATAATGGACATAGTGGGTCATGAAGAATCATGAGAATTAACCCTGAAGAACTGGGATTTTCTTAGGTAAACAGCAGGATTGTGATATGTATAAACACAGTCCTTGGAGGTTGATAGGAAGGTCTTTCAATTTTGCAGATATCTCAAAGAAAAATTACTTTGCAGGTCTTGGGGGAAACAGTATTCCAAGCATGACTGAAAGGTTCTAGGATTCAACACAGGAAAATTTTGCTTTCTTTGCATGAGTAGTTTAGAGTGGGAAGTAAGCAAGTTTGCTCAGGGACGTGAGAAGATTATAGATGGCTACCAGATTTTATACTCTAAAAATGGGCTAGTTAAGATCACTATTCACAAGGTATATTTTCCAAATATTCTCATACCAAAATATGATGTACAATGTCAAGAATGCTTATAAGGAAAATTAGACCCATAGACACAGAATAAAGCCAGTAATAATTAGTTACCACAGAAACACAAGTGAAATTTATCACTAGGTCTCATGAAGAGTGTGGTGTCCTCACCTCAGTACACTTACATTCTTTAAAAAAAGGACCCTGAGCGCCCTCCCTGGTGGTACAGTGGGTTAAAGCACAGCTCTGCAAGCTAGTCACAGATGTTTCAGTGCCAGTTCTATCCCGGGCACTGGCTTCACCCGGCCTGGCCCGGATGTGCCCCACATGGTGCAGCAGACCTCTCCTGTCCCCCCCACTGCTCCCCTCAGCATTGTACTTTGTCAATCTGCCTGTTCTGCTTCCTACTCTGTCTCTGGTGAATCCTCACTCTGCCCCTGCACCTCTGGTCTGTACCCCAGTTCTGTATGCATAAATAAATAAACTTAAAAAAAAAAGAACTCTTAGAAACTGCAGAGAACTTACTAGATTATCAATTGTTTTCGAGAAAAATGTAAGCCTCTTGCTTAAAAGCTTCCAATTTTTTAACCAGTGTTTTCCCTTCTGAACTCGTTAAAAACAAAACACAACTAAAAATTGTTCAGAGATACCTCCTAAATTCTTTGAAAGAATTTGAGCATATATCTTCAGTTTTAAAGTATATGGGAAATGAAACCATACCCTATTTACTTTCCCTCTGTCATACCCAGCACTTTGCCACCAACCTGGTAATAACTTTTGAATAGTCACATTTCTTTCCCTCAGACCATTTCAGTACTTCTCTAACTTATTTAGTCAAATAAGCAACATAGCAAAGTAAGCTCAGACCTTATTTTAAAAATTATCTCACATTACTTTCATAAATTATTTTTAGCCAAAATTAGTGTTATCTAAAGCAAACCAAATAACCCCAGTTGGCTATCTCTGGAATTTAATTTTTTAATTCTCCTATGCTTGCGCTCCCTACCCTTTTCTCCTTCCACTGACCTATAAGAGAGTGGAATAAAAACATCTTGAGTAGTTCAGGCTAAGATGCACAGACAGTTCCTGTGGAATCCAGAACCATGTATAGTCTTTGAGGAGTTACAGGTTTTCCATTTAGCTCTCCAATACAAAGAGCAGGGACTCAGTACATCAACTCACTTGCCACCACTGCTCGGTTAGCCAAGATTCTTTGCCTAGACAGGAAAAAGACAAAGGAAAAGGATGCCTTTAGCTGCTTCTGAAAGGCTCTTACAAAAGTGGATAGGCAGAAACAGAAAAGTCACCAGTCCCCAGGTTTGGACCTCACCTGTGTTCTCTTGGGCACGTTTTCCACTTCAGGAGTTGGTCTTTAGGGTTCCTCAGCCCTGGAGCTTGCCACCGGCTTGTGCTCCCTGTGCTCAGGTGGCTCAGGGAGATTTCAGAGTGGGTTTCATTGAGCAAGGCCAGCAAACATGACAGGCTCAGGAAGAGAGTGTCAATATACCATTTCTGTGTGCCCGGGATTTTGTCTCCCACGTGTGCATGTTGCCTTTCCTCGTCCGCCTCACCTCCCTGGGGTGGTGTGGGGATGACCATTCAGCAGATGGGGCTTGTTTACCAGTTATTGTCTACAAGCAAAGTTTGGCTGCAGCTTCTCTTGGTTCTTAGGATCTCTTTAGCAGTCAGTCAGAACAACAAGTTTTCTCAGTAGTTTCAGCTATACTTTACTAAGGTTTCCCCTTCTTGCTTATTTCAGTGGAGGAGGATTCAGTGAAGTGTATGGAGGCCCCTTTAGAGCATCAAGTGCTCTTGGTGTTTTCCTGACCATAGATGAGGCTGCCTGGGAAGGCAGGGACTGAGTGAAGGGGTTTGTGAAGGCACAGCACACAGGTGACCAGGCGGCCGCATGTTACACGTTCTCAGGAATCACGGGGCCCCCTCGCTGCAGAGGTGCTAGGATACTCCTGCCTACTAACCCCTGCCCATGCCTGCACGTTCTCTGACTTGTTCTGTCCACTGACCCTGATGCATTTGCCCTCGTGCTGTCATCATTTCTGGTGTTCCATTCACAGGCTCTGTGCCCCTCGGTGCCCTGCATAGTGCGGCCTGCCCAGATCCCTCTTTCAGGAGCTGCTTCAGCTCTGAGCAGGAAGCGTACAGGAAGGGATCTGACTTTCTCAACCCAGCTGTAAACCAAATGTCCCCTTTATTTTTATGCCCATTTTGTATAGAGGAAGAGGAATTCTCCTGGACTGAGGGCCCCCCTTTCACCCCCAGGAATGTGAATGAATAAATTGTAAAATTTCTCTTCAGGAAATAGGGACAGTTTACCTTTCCTCTCTCTGCTGAACTTGGGTTAATTTGCTGCAGAGAATATAAAGAAAGCCTCTGTGTTGGGCCTGCTGAGCTATCACCCTGATCACATGCCTCCAGGCCATTCCCAACTCAACTGCCTTTTCACTGAGTTGAATGGAGAATGCCCCCCTTGTGCCGCCCGCCTCAACCTGAGCTCCCAAAGGGCTGCCCAGGCCACAGCTCTCCCTTGTGCTTCCCGTGACACAGCCCTGCTCGCCAGAGATCATAGGGATCATCCTTGGAACCTTAAAGAAATTGCCACCCTTTCTCCTTGGCAGGGTTCCTCATTTCTTGAGGGTATAATCCTCAGTCTTCCTCATAGGCTCTGGCAGAAGATGGCTTGCCTTCTGTCTCTGTTGGAAAAAGAATAGCTTTTTCAGGAAGTGGCTAGTTCTTTAATCTATTTAACAGTTACTTCTTGTACTCTCTTTTATTCTCTACCTTTGTTTCCTTTTTTCCTCACTGTGTTAAATTTAAGGGGTATCTGTCATGACTGTTAGAATTCTTCACTGGGTCTGAGACAGAGATAGTCTTCCCTGAGAAAGTCCTGACCTTTTTTCCATTCCATTGGACTTCAGGGTTTCTCTGCTCTGGAGCTAAACGTGAGCATGCCTCTGAGCATATCTGAGAGTCTGGGGAACTCTGGCAAGAATAGTGTCTATCTAAGCCCAAAACTCCGGGAGGGTCTTTTCTAGAGCTTGGACATATGCACACAGTAGAGTGAAGAACTCGATGTTAGGAAGTATAGAGCAGAATCACGATGGGCCTGCATCTTACTTAGCTATATGTTTTTCATAGTGGGTGGTGAATTATCACTGTAGGTTGTGTGTGTGTGTTTTTTTTTTTAAGATTTGTTTATTCATGCATACAGAACTGGGGTACAGGCCAGATGTGCAGGAGTGGTGAGAGGATTCACCAGAGACAGTGGGGAGCAGAACAGGCTGACTGATGAAGTACATGCTGAGGGGAGCAGCGGGCGGGTCAGGAGAGGTCTGCTGTACCATGTAGATCACCTCCATAAGATCAAACTCATGCTGAAAGTGGCTTTAGCTTCTTAGTGCTGTGCTTTAACCCGCTGCGCCACCAGGGAGGGCCCTATTACTGCAGGTTTTTAAGGTGATGCTATGGCCAGGGTTCTGCTCTTAATTTTTAAAAATATTTTAACTGTGTTAAATACACAAAAAAATTGCAGTCTTACCCATTTTTTTATGTGTACAGCTCAGTGTTATTTAGTGCATTGACTTTGTTTTGCACCCTTCATCATCTATCTCTGGAACTCTTCACCTCGTAAAGCTGAAACTGTCCCCATTCAACAACTCTCTATTTCCCATCCCCTGGCAACCACCATTGTCCTTTCTGTTGCTGTGGATTTGACAGCTCCTGCCTTTTAAAGACTCCCTTTGGCAACAGTAGGGGGAAGAGGTCCTGGCAGGCTGGTGAGGACAAGTACCACAGTGCTCGGCTGGAAGTGATGACCTTAGCTAAGCTACTGGCATTGGGAATGGGAACCCATAGGACTTTGTTATGATAGAAAATGGGAGGAGGTGAAAGAGAGACAGGGTACTAACTGAGTTTGAGAATGTGAATGGGATCTAATCAAGATGGGACTGTTGAAGAGAAGAGCATTTCTCTTTTCCCTTTTAGGTTTGTGGTTGAGATAGCCTGTAAATAAAGGTCAGATTAACAGGAGGAAAAAGCCAATTTAGTTTTGTGCACATGGAGTCCCATGACTGCAAAGCAAAAGATTTATTTACTTTCTAGACAAAGATACAATAAATTTCTGAGGAACTGACAACAGAAAGGAACTGTCAGTTTATATGTTAGTTTTGTAAGCTAATTATACAGGTGTTACAGGACCTGCCTCTCCTGGTAGAGTGACTGTCACAAGGAAGACTTACTTCCTGAGACAGAGAGAGGCAGAGAAAATGTCCTGCTTCAGCTGTTTCTCAAGCAACTCACTTTCATCATAATCAGTAAAATCATGTGTTGCCTAACTTTGGGAGAACACTCTGAGAAATGTGTCACTAGGGGATTTGTCATTGTGCGAATGAATGCAATACTAGCAGTGACTTCGTACTCTTTGGGCCCTTGATGAACAAAAAGATACAAAATGAAATCAAGTACAAGGGAAAATGATGCTCTCAAGAGATGAGGTAAACATGGGACAAGTGAGGCTGCCGCTGGTGTCAAATGCTGTCACTGAGCGGTAGGAGTTTCAGGACCACCATTGTGTATATGGTCTGTTGTTGAAAGCAATGTGTTAGTTACACAAAATTAGCAGACCTCTATAAATCAGAGACCTTCTGTGGGAGAGGGGGAGAGGGATCAAAACAGGGGTGGTAAGAGCACAAAGGACTACGGTGATGTTTCACTAGTGAATTAGTGGTGGGAATTTTATAAGGACAACATCTGAGAGCACAAAGCAAACATTATACAAAAGCGAACAATGATGTAAAAGCATGTGTGAGTGTGTGTAAAGAAACATGTTGGTTATGATTTTTCTTTGAACAGTTGTATGTTCAGGTTCCCCTCTTAAGTCTTTCTCCTTTGTGAATGACTTTATTTCTCAAGTTTGGGCACCACGTCTAATGGGTCCTTTCCCAAGATGAACCTGCCCCACGGGAATATTCAAGATAGGGAAGCCAAGTCTGTAGAGCAGTACCCCAAACTCCAAAGCCACCTTCTTGACTTTCCCTTCTGTCTCCTCCTTAGGTGAACCCACCATATTACTTGCCATTGGTTGAGCTGGTTCCTCACCCAGAGACATCTCCTGAAACAATGGACAGGACCCATGCCCTCATGCGCAAGATTGGACAGTCCCCAGTCCGGCTCACGAAGGAGGTGGATGGCTTTGCTCTGAATCGCCTGCAGTATGCAGTCATCGCAGAGGCCTGGAGGCTGGTGGAGGTGTGTGGCAGCTCCCACTGTCTGGTCTCAGCAGAAGGCGAGGTGGCTCCTGGGAGCATCATGGTTGGGAGTTGGGGTGGCAGGAGCATCAGGTGGTGCTTGGTTCTTGCCCTGTTTTGGAGATGGATGGCAATATTTTCTCTCAGGTGTAGTCAAACGGTAACAAAAATAAATGGTATGCAGCAACTCATGTTATATCCTAGAGATTCCCCTTGTACAGTCACTTGATTCCAGACTTTGTAGATAGGCTTCCTGTGTCCCACCCATTCATATCATCACCACATAATCAAAGAAAAACAATCTTTCTAATAAAGCAAAATTACATCTTTTAAAGAAGTCCAACTTATTTCTAGAGCTTAAGGGAGAAGCATGGATAACCCTAAGCTTGTCTTAGCCTCATCCTATAATTTTGAATGATTTTACATGTGACTTTAAAAATCACCTTGTTCTTCCCTACTTTTGTACTCTGGATCTGGCACCTAGCAGGGGAGATGTCAAAGTAGGATTGGCAGTGAGAGAGGGTCTTACCAGGCATCCAAAATAAGAAGAATGGAACTTAGCTGAATTGTTGTTCCCTAGAATGGTGCCTGCCCAACGCACTTGACAGGAATGTAGATCAGCCTTTGGGTTAGCTTCCTTGGGTAGCATTAGCCCCCCAGCTCCTCAGCAGTGTGCCTGGGTCCATGACCCTCCCACTTCTTGTTGGGGTTCGCCCACACCTCCATCAGGTGGTGTGGATATTTGACTTGCAGTAGCTACAGGTTTGCATTTTCACACCTGCATAATTATCCTGCATCTTCAAGACACAGTGGTAGACTTTCCACTGTTAAATTTGCACTTCAAATTTCTTAGTAATTATACAATGCTTTTGAATTGTAGAATTTTTTTTTCATTTTTGAATTATAATGCTTTCTCAGAGATCTAGTTAATATATTTTCATTTGTCTAGAGTTGGGGGCTATGGGAGTTGTTTAATAGACCACAAAATATTGCATTAAAACATAACAGAAGGTTTCAATGCAGTTTTTTTTTAAATTTATTTATTTATTCATACAGAACTGGGGTACAGACTAGAGATGCGGAAGGTGAGAGGATTCACCAGGGACAGAATGGGGAGCAGAACAGGCAGATTGACGAAGTACACTGCTGAGGGGAGCAGCAGGCGGGTCAGGAGAGGTCTGCCGTGCCATGTGGTCACCTCCGGGGCAGGCGGGAATCGAACTCATGCGGAAGTGGCTTTAGATTCTCAGTGTTGTGCTTTAACCCGCTGCACCACCAGGGAGGGCCTCAATGCAGTTTTAACAGTTATTTCAAAAGTGTTTTAGTGCCCCTCAGAGATGGAAAAAAGGAATCAAATTTCACTTTCTCCAATATGAGAGATATGAACGCAAAGAAAAATTTGGAGATGATGGGGTAAGGGAGTTGGGTGGGAGGTATATACAAAGAAATTCTGTTTTGACCACAAAATGAAACTGGCTACAGTGTAGAAGCGGCAGGCAGGGAAGAGCCATGGAGAATTACAATGTCTGCATTTGCTGGGCGGACAAGGAGGGCCTGCTGGTGTTTGACTGCACTGGAGGGTTCTTATGGTTCACGGTCCATCCTGCTTTTTGGTCATCTGTCACCAGAGGCTCATGGTAAGGTGAGTGTGATCATGTCTTGGCTGGCACGAATGTTCTCACTCCTGGTTTCTAGGGATGACGTGTCTTCTTGTGTTGTCTGCTATGGGACACATGTGCCCGAGTCCTCATAAGAAACTGAGTGCTAAAATCAGCAGGATACAGTTTAATGTGAAAAGATGAGACGGAGGCTACAGAAATGAAAAGTTATGTTCACAGGAATGTGAACTGAACCCAGAAAACCCCAAAGAAAATTGTCTTTGGTAGAAGTCTAGAAGATAATTCCCTTAAAAATAAAGAATATAAATCTACAGATAGTAAGAATCTAGGTACATCTGGAAACTGTGGATACCACTCTTTGGGCAGAATGGGGTTATGATGGGAATCAAGCCCTGCCGGGGGACTTAGGAGGGCAGGAAGCATGTTTCTCATTTCTGAGGGCTGGGCTCACAGAAGGGTGTATGGAGGAGGGCGGAGCTGCTACAGCTTCACTTGCATTCACCACACTGCATGGGAGGCAGCTCCTCTGGGTCTTCTGGACCCTGGACACACAGCATGCTGGAGATGCACCTGCCTCTGAAGTAGCTGCCCCCTGGGGCAGGAGGGCTGCTGAGGTAGGCCTGGGCAGGCTTGGAGAAACACAGCTGCAGGGTGCCTCCTCTTAACACACAGCCACATTCTCCACCCTGTACCTCAACAGAGCCACAGAAGGTGCATTTTCCCTAAACCTCACTGCCCTCAGAAATAGGGGATCAATATTTCTGTTCATTATATGGATTGGTTTAAGGAGGTGTGACTTTATTGGATGAATTTCTTGAAAAAGACCTCTGCTGTTTTCACCTCAGAAGTGAGGAGCAGGTTAGGACATCTTACTAGAGTGCAGCTTCTGTGTGAGCAGCCCGTGAGTGTGCACCTAGCCATGGCCAGGCCTGGCTCAGTGACACCCCTTTGACACAATTTCAGTGCCAGTTGAACTTGAATTCATATTTTTGGGTATTCCAGGCTTACTTCAGAAGAGTTATGGGCCACTTCAATATAAAAAGGAGCTGGGTTGCAGAAGTCTTAACAGTAAAAGCTGCACATTTTTACACATTTTCACTTTGAGAAGTCCAGAGATATTGAAGAATTTTTCTTTCCAAGACATTCTCTTTCCAGGGTGGGTCTCTAGTGTGAATAAGAAGCGCTAAACTTACCTGCTTTGTTCTATCCACCCCTGGTTGTCCTGGTTTGTTACTGTCTGGATTGACAAAACAAGATGAAATTTGGCAGGGTCTTTTCTTTCTGACTCAAGCTTAGTCTGGCATGCTTTCAGGGGAGGGAGGGTACAAGGTGACTCAGTTCCAGAATGTGGAGAGTTTTGTGCAGACATGGCTTGGCACTGTTCTGGTGTCCGGGGTGCTAAGTCAACTCTACGAAGAGTGCCGTTCCCTGTTGTGTGAGTATAAATAGCCCTGCACAAATCTAATCCATGTGTGAACATCCCAGGGCTAGATCCCCAAGTTGGGGTATAAGCAGTGTGGGGTAAGGGAAGGTGCTCTTGCACCCAGCATGGCAGTGTTTTGGTATGGGTGTTGAAGGATCAGAAGGAAGCTGCTCTGAAGCTCGCTGACTCTGTAGATGTGATGAATCACATTGATTGGTTTTCTCATGTTCAGTCTGTGATCCTGGAACAAATCCCACTTGATTGTAGGGTTTGAGGTTACTGGACTTAATCTCTTACATTTGATTTACAATATTTGCCTCTACATTTAGAAGAGATGTTGATTTATAGTTTTCTTATATATATGTATTACCTACATACATAATATAAATGCTATCTTTTTTTGATGTTGATATCAAGCTAATGCTACATAGATATCAAGATAATAACACATAAATAAGTTGGAAAATTCCCCCTTCTCTGTTTTCTGGAAGAGATTGTGTAAAATTTCTCCAGCAAAACTACCTAAGCCTCAGGGTTCTTACTCAGGAACTTAAAAATTAGGAAGTCAACTTTGTTAATGGTTGACCATTTGAGTTATCTGCTTTATCTTGGTTGAGTTTTGGTAGCTTGTGGTTTTAGAGAAATTGGTCCCATTTGTTCTATTAAACTTGAAGTTGTTGCATTAAAGTTGTTAATAAGACTCCAATATCCTTTTAATTGCTGTCATGGTAGCTCTGATTTTGTTCCTGATATTGAAAATTTATATGTGCTCTCTTTTACATGTTATTCTTAACAAAGGTCTAGCAATTTTATTAGGCATTGAAGAAACAACATTTT